ATAATATTAATAATAATAGCTCATCCATCATAAATTGATGATAACCTTTGACATCTAAGAAAAAGAAAAGTTATAGACCTGGTTAGCACTCGTATGTATGGTAAAGAGAGGAAAGGAAAGGAGATTCTAGCAAGAAACATCGGGGGAATGATCACAAAAGGCCACATGACACAACTCTCGCCGCAGACAGCTGTTGACTTTCCCTTTCCTAAACTAAACTGGTGTGCTCATCTGCCTAGACCAATTACTATTACAGTTAAATGGTGAACGCTTTCTACTATTTCCTTTATTTCCCCTATTACTTTTCCACTATTTCCTTTATTTCCCCATATTACTTTTCCACTATTTCCTTTATTTCCCCATATTACTTTTCCATTATTTCCTTTATTTCCCCATATTACTTTTCCACTATTTCCTTTATTTCCCCATATTACTTTTCCACTATTTCCTTTATTTCCCCATATTTCTTTTCAACTATTTCCTTTGTTTACCCTAATTCCTTTCTACTATTTCCTTTATTTCCCCATATTACTTTTCCATTATTTCCCTTTAAAAAAACCCCCTAATTCCTTTCTACTATTTCCTTTATTTCCCCCTCTCTACCACGTACGGCTGTGCTAACCATCAGTCAGTCAAGTTATACACAGCAGAATCAAAAGGATTTTGAGGCACGATACAACATAATCAAACAATAAAATTCATATTTAGGAAACCCTTCATCAATAATGTAGCCTTAGCTACCAACAGTGAAAAGCGATTTTTTAACACTATTTACAAGTAAATAAATGAACATTTTATAAACTCTCCAATAATCCTCTTAAAAACAGAACAGGAATTGTTTAAAAAATAGGAGCAATATATATGCATGGATGCAAAGCTCTGGTAAAGGGAAACATGCAAGCCAACTGATATGTTGATGATATTTTGTCAAATGAATGTAAAATGACCACTGTCGGCAATAGAAACATAATTCTCAGCATGCATGGAATACTTCAAGTGATGGCAAACAACGTAACAAGATTATTGCCAAGGTCACAACAGAATTGCTCAAGTCACATTTTGCTGTTTTGAAATTTAAAAAAAAAAAGAAAAAGAAAAAAGAAAAAGGGATGTTTTCTTCCCAAGCTACCCCACACATCTAACTGCCTCTACTCCTCAAAACAACAATAAGAACAGACTCGCTGCTATGACAGAATGGCATCATGCAGAAGAGTTAACGCTCAGATGCTACTGGATCGTTAACAACAACAACAACAACAACAACAACAACAACAACAACAACAATACCCCCGAATGTTATGAGGAGACTAAGAGAAGACAATCTAAATAGGACCCCAAAAACTACACGGTCAAAGAGAGGAGGGAAAAGAACATTAGAATTTAAGGTACCTCAGAGAAAAAAACCAGGTCAAACAAAAGGACACCAAACCCAAGCCGACACCGCCCCCAGAGAGACATTTTAGATCTCTTCGGGGAGGATTCAGGGAGGTTGGACTGCCTCACCCGCTACCCAAGGGAGGCGGTGGCCCTGGCGAAGAGCACGCTCTTCGGGGCTCCAAACATTTCGAACGGATAGGCTACCACACACACACAACAACAACACATTTTAAAAAAGGATAACAAAGGAAAAACAAACAAAGAAACACAATGAAAAGAAAACTGTTCTTACTAAAGCCCATCTAATGTTTTGAGCAAAAATAAAAATGTCTCAATAGTTGGCGTTTTATTACATTATGGAACAATATCCCGCAATAATAATACACTAACAATACGTGTCATGACGTGATGGAATCAGGCGCTCGTCAGTTTTTGGGCATTTGGAGTCAACTCTATCATGTGAAAGCTGATTTATTTGCCTTGCTTCCAATGAAATAAACATCTATTTATCTTGAATAGTGCTCAAGATATTTGCCATTAAAGTAGGAAGTGAAGTCGTCTGGATTTAGGAGTGAAATTAGCGATAAAATGTCCGCCAAAGTTAGGTAACTCCAATAGCTAAAGAGTCTTTGAAAACTGTTCAAGACCCGTATGTCTATTCAGGTGTCCCAAAAACTGTATTTGTCGTTTCCTGAGTGTTTTAAACATTGAGCGTCCTACGTGGGCTTCATCAAGCACTACCTCATTTGATTTCTTTTCCTTCCACGATACTCTTAGCAGTCTTTGCCGGAGATAAAGAATTTAAAAAAAAATCCAAACCGACGTGGCCAACTGTGTTATGACCATGGCAAGATTGTACATCACAAGAACTCTAACACAGATTAGTAATCAATCACTTGCTACATAATGCAAATACATAAAACATATACATCATACAAATACATCATAAAATCATCATATTATTTCTTTAATCAGCGAAAGGACTAGAGTTATTTTGTTAGCAACGTCAATAACAATATATGGGCGAAGCAGAGATCTGAGATTGGGATGGCAGGAATGTAACAAAAGAACAGGCAGCCCATTCCGCACAAAACATTTCTTTAAAAAATGTAAAATGAAACAAAAATATACATCATGTATGAACAATATATTTATAACTTTGTCACATCCCCCCCCCCCA